TTTTGGAATGTCCTCGGGATGTGAAAAGCACTTGACCAAATGTAAGGATTATTATTATCTGGAATGCTGATGGAGTCCTGCAGGGTATTGGTTAGAGCAGTTGCCTTGCAAGCAAGAGGACTCAGGTTCGATTCCTGGGCAGGGCAAAAACGCAAGTTTCCTTACTCTGGTTGTTAGTCAATTGGAGGATCGCTTTCTGGGGGGGAAATATCCCTTAAAACGTTTGATTACTCAATCCACAACTGTTTGTGGGACACTGCTGTGTGCAATTGGCTGCTGCGGTTTACCCCCAAAATAAACAGTCAATCCACTTCACAATATATTCTGGCAATCTCTTTGAGGCAATCTCAACGACTTGATAAGGTATTAAATCAAATTATTATTAATATGATGGAGTGAGTGAGCGGATCCCTCGGGGGAATTGTCAGCAGGGGTACCAGGACAGAGACTTGCCTCTCTCTTTGATCTGCAGGAACATTAACATCAACCTTGGGGTGAGAGTGGCTGCAGCCTGTACACCACAAATTGTGAAACTGTGCACATGAAGGAATCTGATAAGTGCACATTTGCTAAAGTATATAACAGAGAGCACGCACAGGGTCAGCGGAGACATGCAGGGGTGCGGAGAGCAACAATAAATGACAGCATAGGTGTGTGTCTGTGGGGTTGGGGGAGGTGGGTGTGCAGGAGGGGCAAGGAATTGTGTGGGGAGGGTGCAGGCAGATTGGCTGTGCGGGGTATGGGGGAGGGTCACCAGGATGTGAGGGGGTAGGGCCTTAGGGTGTGTGTGGATTGGAAGGTCCCCAGGATGTGTGAGGTGGAGGGGCTCAGGGGTCTGTGAGGGACAGAGTCCCAGGGGGTGTGAGTGGGAGTGGGAGGGTCCCGCGACCACCTCCAGCGAGTACAGGCTGCAGCCACTCTCACCCCAAGGTTGATGTTAATGTTCCTGAAGATCAAAGGGAGAGGAGGAGGAATGTTATGATTTACTTAAGGTTAGAAATATATGTCGTAAAAAAATACAGAAGTATTGTTAAAGTTTAAAGAAAGGAGGTATGTTGAAGAGAATAAAAAAATTGAAAGCAGGCGTATTTAAGCATAGAAAATTATAAGAGACATTTTACTGAATAAACAAGAGTTATGATTCCCTCTGTTCCTGGGTCTTGACTAAACCTTCATACAATTATAGAATCACAGCACAGAAAGAGACCATTCAGCCCATCGTGCCAGTGCCGGCTCTTTGAAAGAGTTTCCAACTCGCCCCGCGCCCCTGCTCTTACCCCATAGCCTTGCAAAAGTTTCCTTTTAAGTACCTATCCATTTCCCTTTTGAAAGCTACTGTCAAATCTGCTTCCGCCACCCTTTCACTCAGTGCATTCTAGATTGAACAACTCACTGAGTAAAAAAAAATCTCCTTGTCTCTCTGGTTCTTTTGTTAATTATTTTAAATCCGTGTCCTCTGGTTACCAACCCACCTGCCAGTGGGAACAATTTCTCCCTATCTACTCAAAACACCCCCAATATTTTTGAACACCTCTATTAAATCTCCCCTCAACCTTCTCTGCTCTGAGGCGAATAATCCCAGTTTCTCTAGTCTCTTCACATAATTGTAGTCCCTCATCTCTGGTATAATTCTTGTAAATCTCCCCTGAACCCTCTCCAAGGCCCTGACATCCTTCCTAAAGTGTGGTGCCCAGAATTGGACACAATATTCCAGCTGGAGCCTAACCAGATTTAACATAACTTCATTGCTTTTGTACTCTACGCCTCTATTTATAAAGCCAAGGGTCCCATGTGCTTTTTTAACAGCTTTATCAACTGCGGTCCTGTAGCTTAATTGTTAGATCAATGGCCTTGCAAGCGAGAGGACCTTGGTTCAATTCCCGGCAGGGCGAAACGTTGGGCAAGATTCCGTTTGCGAGGCGAGTGCTCGAGCTACAGGTCTTCACAATTTATAACTGGTCCTGCCACCTTCAAAGATTTGTGTATGTGAACCTCCAGGTCTCTCTGTTCCTGCACCCCTTTAAAATTGTACACATGGAATCCTGTATCTCAGCAGTGAGAGCACTCGCTTTGCAATTGAGTGACCTGGGTTTGATTCCCAGCAGTGTGAAACGTTGGTCAAGTTTCCTTACTCCACCTGCCTCTGTTTACCTAGCAGTAAGTAGCAACCTGGTTGTTAGACGATTGGCGGATGACTTTTCCGGGTTAATAAATCCTTCAAAAAAAAGGTCACTCAATCCACGACTGTTTTTGGGACACTGCTGTCCGCAATTCGCTACCGGGTTACGCCCATAAAAATGTATAGTTAATTCACTTACAGTATATTCTGTGAAGCGCTTTGAGATGTCTCAAAGTCTTGATAAGGTGCTATATCAAATGCAAGGATTATTATTATTAAATTGATACTGCCACTCCTCATTCCACCTCTCAAAATGCATAATTTCAGACTTTTCTGCATTACATTTCATGTGCCTGCCCATTTCACCAGTCTGTCTATGTCCTCCTGCAGTTTACTACATTTCCAAGTCTTGTGCCATCTGCGTACTTTAAAATTGTGCTGTCTATACCCATGTCCAGGTCATTAATATATATCAAAAAGACCCTTGGGGACACCACTGTACCTCCCTCCAGTCTGAAAAACAACCATTCACCACTACCTTCTGCTTTCTGTCTCCCAGCCAATTTCGGATCCATGTCCCTTCAATTGGGCTTCAATTTTGCTAACAAGTCTATTATGTGGCATTTTATCAAACGCCTTTTGAAAGTCAATATACACAACATCAAGCGCACTACCTTCATCAACCCTCTCCGTTATTTCATGGAAGAACTCAATAAAGTTTGTCTGACACGATTTGTCTTTTTTACCCCAATTTTTTTCAAAGGGAAAATTAATTTTGTAATGGATTATGAAGTTTCCCCACCACCAACAGGCCTATAGTTACCAGATTTGTCCCCCTTGAACAGGTGTATAACATTTGCAACTGTCCAGTCCTCTGGCACCACTCCCTTAGCCAAGGAGGATTGAAAGATCGTGGCCAGAACCTCCATTATTTCTACCCTTCCCTTAACAACCTAGGATGCATCCCATCCGGACCGGGTGACTTTTCTAATTTGAGCGGTGCCAATCTTTTCAGTACTTGCTATTTTTATCTTATCCAATCTCTCTATCCCTCCTCCTTTACTGTGACATTGGTAGAATCATCTTATAAAGGAGAAAGGTTCACCAGCAGACTTATGATCTTGGTTTAATATCCCATGTGAAGGATGTCACCTCTGACAATACTTGTGTAGCTCCTTTCAAATTGTGAGGACGTCCCAAGGTGCTGGACAATCAGTGTTTCGGACCCGAGCTGGGGGTCGGGCAGAGGGAGGAGGGTTATTGAGGCATGGTTGAAGAGGAGGGTCTAGAGATGGGTCTTGAAGGAGGCAAGGGAGGGAACGAGGCGGAGGGACTGCGGGATGGAGTTCCATAGGGTGGAGGCAGAGTGGCTGAAGGCCTGTCCGCCAATGGTGGGACGGGTGAGGCGAATGTGAAGTAGGCTGGAGCCCACTGAGCGGAGGGAGGAGGCAGGTTGGTAGGAGGTTAGGAGGTCGCAGAGGCCATGGAGCGAGGCCATTGAGGGCTTTGAAAGTGAGGACCAGGATCTTGAACTGTATCTTCTCTGTGATGGGAAGCCAATGGAGTCGGGCGAGGATGGGGTTGATAAGAGTTGTGGAGCCTGGTGCGGGAAAGGACATGGGTTGCAGAGTTCCAGATGATCTGCAGCCTACAGGGGGAGGAGTTGGGAAGGCCAACAAGCAGGAGTTTGCATAGTCAAGCCTGGATGTTATGTATGGGTGTATGAGGGTCTCAGCGGCTTACTGTGTGAGACAGTGGCGGAGCCGGACAATGTTGCAGAGGTGGGGGAAGGCGGAGCGGGTCATAGCATGGATGTGGGGTAGAAAGGATAGTTGAAGGTCAAACAAGATGCCAAGCTTCAGATAGATATGGAAGAGGAGGGGACCCAAGGACAGAGCTCTGAGGAACGTCGCATGAGACTGTGTGGGGACCAGAGGAGAAACTGTTTGTGGAGATGAAATGGAGATGGTGTGAGAGGTAGGGTCTGAACCATTCGAGGACAGAAACATGAAGGTTGAGGTGAGAGGAGAGGCAGTGTGGAGAATATAGTGGTCAACGATCTCGAAGGCAGCAGAGGTCAAGGAGGACGAGGAAGGAGAGGGAACCCTAGTTGCAGATGGACAAAATGTCATTTTTCATTTTGACCAAAGCTGTTTCTGTGCTGTGGGCGGCACGCTACTCGATTGGAAGGATTCGTGGAGTGGTGGGAGAGGAAAGAGTGAATCTGGGAAGCAAGCATTCCAGGACCTTGGAAAGGAAAGGGAGGTTGGATATGGGGCAGTAGTTTGAGAGCAGGGATGGGTCAGTTGGTATCAGAGAGGATGGACCAGGCATGAGAGGGTGGGAGTGGAGCCGGTTGGTGATGGAGAAGAGGAGCAGCGTGGACTAATTGTTTTAATTGTTCCCCAAACGCAGGGTGAGATGTGACAGAGACTATTTGCTGAACATTCACCTGGATGGCAAACTCCAGTCAACTCCGGGATGCATCCTCGGGGGGGGAGGGGGTGGGGTTGTGGGGGGGAGGTAAGTGGGGTCTCCTTGGAGACCCAACCCAGTGACAAACCTGAGCACCTTGATCAGAGATTTTCACTTTCACTGATTGAGTGTGCGCATCAAGGCCTGTCTCTATCAATGTTCAGTAAATTCCTGATAGCTCAACCCTGGCTTAGTTTGTCACTATCGTTTAAGTTATCATGCTTATGCTGTCAGTATCCCGGCTACATTTATTTATGAGTTTACACTTATTTATATACATACGCCTGACTTGCCATTCCTGATAACCCTTGTCCCTTGGAGTGATGAGTTAGCAGGAGTTTACCGTATTCACAGTGGACACTCAGGGTACACGCAAGGAGAGCATCCAGGAAATTTCAGTCAGTATAAGAATCAATCTAATCTCTTTATTTAAAACCTATTTGTTGAAGAATCTTTTATTACAATTAAGCCTAAAATTACACCCCTTTTCCAGCTCATTATCACCATTCAGCTCCGTTTCTCCAGTCAACCAGCAGCTTCCAGGGGACTGGCATCGTGACCTGACACCCACTCAGCAGCAGCTGTGGACAGTGGATGGTCAGGTGGGTGGGAGAGGTTTGCTGTTAGTTGAAGGACTGCTGATGGATGAGGTTGTATTTCGGTCGCGTTTGCTCTAGAGGCTCAGCGTCCTGATCAGCTACATCAGGGCATTGGCACTTGGAAATGCTTCACCCAGAGAGGCAGGCCCTGTGGACAGCCAGACATGGTTACAGGCAGAGCCTGGAGACAGAGACAAGGCGCTATATCAAATGCAAGGATTATTATTATTGTTACAGGCAGAGGCTGGGGAGAAGCTGTAGATGAGGCTGAGGCCTGTGACACTGATGCTCACTCTTACCTGTTGCTGAGGGTCCGGGTGGAGGCACGATAGGACCGCGCACTGCGCTCAGCACCGACTCCTCCTCACTCCCCCCCAATTGCAGTTTCCGCATATGCCGCACCACCGCCGTGGCATTAAAGGCTCGCTGCAAAACATTGTAACACACATGGTAACGCACACTGTGACACACACAATAACACACACGGTAACACACACAGTAACACACACTGTGATACACGCAGTAACACACACTGTGATACACGCAGTAACACACACAGTAATACACACACAGTAACACACAACGTAACACACACTGTGACACACCATAACACACACAGTAACACGCACAGTAACACCCACTGTAACACACACCGTAACACAAACACTAAAATATATCCTAACACACACTTTAACTCACACTGTAATGCAACCTGTAACACACACTGTCACACATACTGTAAAACACACACTAACACACATCGTAACACACATTTTAACTCACACTGTAATGCAACCTGTATCACACACTGTAACACACACCAACACACACTGTAACACACACCAACACACACTGTAATACTCACGGTAACACTCACACTTGCTCACCCTGAGTTTCGCTCAGAATAACAGGAGCGAGTGATAGGGAGTGAGGGAGGGAAGGGTAGAGGAAGGGATGGAGTGAGGGAAAGAGGAACTGACCTTCCATTTATTTTTGGCGAAGTTTTTCTTGATCTGAGTGCTGACAGACTCGTGAATATTCTTATCCAAAGCCGTGTCACCAGCGACCCTACAGTACAGAGTGGGGAGCGTGAGAGCAGCGAGAGGGGCTGCGTGGGGAGAGTGGGGAGGATTGGGGGAGAGCTTGAAAGAGGGCTGTGCAGGAAAGAGAGGGGGATCGGGAAGCGAGGGAGAGTGCGGGATAAAGGGGAAAAGGGGAGAGTGCGGGATAAAGGGGAAAAGGGGAGAGTGCGGGATAAAGGGGAAAAGGGGAGAGTGCGGGATAAAGGGGAAAAGGGGAGAGTGCGGGATAAAGGGGAAAAGGGGAGAGTGCGGGATAAAGGGGAAAAGGGGGAGAGAAGGAGGGAATGAGAGGGAGGGGAAGAGCAGTAAAGCAGGGCTATGGGGGGAAGCGGGGCTGTGGGGGGAAGCGGGGCTGTGGGGGGAAGCGGGGCTGTGTGGGGGGGGAGGCGGGGCTGTGGGGGGAAGCGGGGCTGTGTGGGGGGGGAGGCGGGGCTGTGGGGGAAGCGGGTGTGTGGGGGGGGAGGCGGGGCTGTGGGGGGCTGTGTGGGGGGGGAGGCGGGGCTGTGGGGGGGGCTGTGTGGGGGGGAGGCGGGGCTATGGGGGGAAGCGGGGCTGTGTGGGGGGAGGCGGGGCTGTGGGGGGGCTGTGTGGGGGGAGGCGGGGCTGTGTGGGGGCTGTGTGGGGGGGAGGCGGGGCTATGGGGGGAAGCGGGGCTGTGTGGGGGGGAGGCGGGCTATGGGGGGGAGGTGGGGCTGTGTGGGGGAGGCGGGGCTGTGTGGGGGAGGTGGGGCTGTGGGGGAGGCGGGGCTGTGGGGAGGCGGGGCTGTGTGGGGAGGCGGGGCTGTGTGGGGGAGGCGGGGCTGTGGGGGAGGCGGGGCTGTGTGGGGGAGGCGGGGCTGTGTGGGGGAGGCGGGGCTGTGTGGGGGAGGCGGGGCTGTGTGCGGGGGAGGCGGGGCTGTGTGCGGGGGAGGCGGGGCTGTGTGGGGAGGAGGCGGGGCTGTGTGCGGAGGAGGCGGGGCTGTGTGGGGGAGGCGGGGCTGTGTGGGGGAGGCGGGGCTGTGGGGGGGGGGGCTGTGGGGGAGGCGGGGCTGTGGGGGAGGCGGGGCTGTGGGGGAGGCGGGGCTGTGTGGGGGAGGCGGGGCTGTGTGGGGGAGGCGGGCGTGTGGGGGGGGTGTGGGGGGAGGCGGGGCTGTGTGGGGGGAGGCGGGGCTGTGTGGGGGAGGCGGGCTGTGTGGGGGAGGCGGGGCTGTGTGGGGGGAGCGGGGCTGTGTGGGGGGAGGCGGGGCTGTGTGGGGGAGGCGGGGCTGTGTGGGGGAGGCGGGGCTGTGTGGGGGGGCGGGGCTGTGTGGGGGTTGGCGGGGCTGTGTGGGGGGAGGTAGGGCTGTGTGGGTGGGGGCAGGGCTTTGTATGAGGGCGCTGTGTGTGCGGAGGCAGGGACTGTGTTACGTGAGGGGAGGCAAGGCAGATGGGGATGTGCAGGTGGAGGCAGGACTGTGTGGGGGGAAGAAGGGCTGTGTGGGGGGAGGCGGGGCTGTGTGGGGGAGGCGGGGCTGTGCAGGGGAGAGGTGTCTGTGTGGGGTGTGGGGTGTCTTTATGGGAGAGGCATGCCTATGTGGGGGACACAGGATTGTGTGTAGGGGTGGCAGGGCTGTGTTTGTGGGGAAATAGTTCTGCGTGTGTGGGGTGGCGGGTCTGTGTGTGGGGAGGCGGGGCAATGTGGGGGAGGTGGGGCTATGTGGGGGGAGGCGGGGCTGACTTGGGGAGGTGAGACAGTGTGGGGGAGGTAGGTGGGGGGGGGGTGCGGGGGGTTAGCTGTGCGGGTGGGGGTGGCTGTGCGGGGTGGGTGGTTGTACGGGGTGGGTGGCTGTGCGGGGGGACGGGTGGCTGTGCGGGGAGTGTGGCTGTGCAGAGTGGGGTGGCTGTGCGGGGGGTTTGGCTGTGCGGGGGTGGGTGGCGTGCGGTGGGGTGGCTGTGCGGGGGGTTTGGCTGTGCGGGGGTGGGTGGCTGTGCGGGGGGGTGGCTGTGCGGGGGGTTTGGCTGTGCGGGGGTGGGTAGCGTGCGGTGGAGTGGCTGTGCGGGGGGTTTGGCTGTGCGGGGGTGGGTGGCTGTGCGGGGGGGTGGCTGTGCGGGGGGTGGCGGGGGTTTGGCTGTGCGGGGTGGGTGGCTGTGCGGGGGGGTGGCTGTGCGGGGGTGGGTGGCTGTGCGGGGGGGTGGCTGTGCGGGGGGTTTGGCTGTGCGGGGTGGGTGGCTGTGCGGGGGGGTGGCTGTGCGGGGGTGGGTGGCTGTGCGGGGGGTGGCTGTGCGGGGGGGTGGCTGTGCGGGGGTTTGGCTGTGCGGGGGGGTGGCTGTGCGGGGGGGTGGCTGTGCGGGGTGGGTGGCTGTGCGGGGGGGTGGCTGTGCGGGGGGTGGCTGTGCGGGGGTGGGTGGCTGTGCGGGGGGGGTGGCTGTGCGGGGGGTTGGCTGTGTGGTGGGTGGCTGTGCAGGGCGGGGCGTTTGCTGTGCTGGAGGGTTGGCTGTGTGGGGGGACGTGTTGGCTGTGCGGAGGGATGGCTGTGCGGGGGTGTTTGGCTATACGGGGGTGTTTGGCTGTGCGGGAGGGTTGGCTGTGCGGGAGGGTTGGGTGTGCGGGAGGGTTGGGTGTGCGGGAGGGTTGGGTGTGCGGGAGGGTTGGGTGTGCGGGAGGGTTGGGTGTGCGGGAGGGTTGGGTGTGCGGGAGGGTTGGGTGTGCGGGAGGGTTGGGTGTGCGGGAGGGTTGGGTGTGCGGGAGGGTTGGGTGTGCGGGAGGGTTGGGTGTGCGGGAGGGTTGGGTGTGCGGGAGGGTTGGGTGTGCGGGAGGGTTGGGTGTGCGGGAGGTTGGGTGTGCGGGAGGGTTGGGTGTGCGGGAGGGTTGGGTGTGCGGGAGGGTTGGGTGTGCGGGAGGGTTGGGTGTGCGGGAGGGTTGGATGTGCGGGAGGGTTGGCTGTGTGGGAGGGCTGGGTGTGCGGAGGGGGGTGTTGGCTGTGCGGGGGGGGTGGGTTGACTGTGGGGAGCGCATCTGGGTGTGGCTGTGCGGGTGGGGTGGCTGTGTGTGGAGGAGCTATGGGTTGGTGGCTCCAGGGGGGTTGGTGGCTGTGCGGGTGGGATAGCTGTGTTTGTGGGGTGGCTGTGTGGAAGGGTGGCTGTAATGGGTGGGGTGGCTGTCCGGGGGGGCTTGCTGTGTGTTTGGGGTTGGCTGTATGAAAGGGTGGTTGTGGGGGTGGCTGTGTGGTTGGGGTGGCTGTGTGGGGGAGGGGTTGGTTGTGGGTTGGAGGGGGCGGTTGTGGGTTGGAGGAGGCGGGGGCTGGGCGGGGATAGATTACCACGGGTGCTCCAGTGCCTGGTCACACGTGTAGCGACGCTGTGGCTCTTTATCCATGAGATGCTGAATAAAATCTTTGGCTGAAACAAAACAACCAATAAACAATTGGAGGGAGATCCCTGCACCCGAGGAGAGGGGGCGGAATCTGGAATCTAGAGCTGATTGAGTGTCATTCACTGTGTCACTTAAATAAACCACATATGTCTTCTCAATGTCAATCTGGGATGTTAGCAGCTCACATAGCCTGTGAGATTGATCAAACAAGATTCAGAGGCGAGAATGCTGACACAGAGGTAAATGGTGGAATTAGATTTACAATCATTTGATATATATGGCTACTGTGTTTCACCCACACAAAAAAATACAGTCAATTCACTCTATAGTATATTTTGTTGAGTGCTTTGAGAGGTCTTAACGACGTGATGAGGCGCTATATCAATGCGACTGATTATTATTATTATCCTTTCTGAATCTGTATTGGCTGTCAGGGATTAGATTATTTTCATATCAGTTCACTTCCTTTCTGAAGGTTGACTCCATCAGTTTCCCAATGATTGAGGTTAGATCAATGCTCCACGGGCCGGGTTCCCTCCTGTCACATTTCCTGACAAAGGGAAGAACAACAGCTGCTTTACCTGAGTCTGAGATATCATCCCAGTATGGAGAGTCAAACTCGTACTCAGCTTTCACAATCTGCTCAAACAGCTTCGCATCATTGTCATCATAAAATGGAGGGTAACCACACAACCTGCAGAGAGAGAGAGGGAATCATTAGCCCCATACATTCTGCAGAGGGAGATAGAGAATAGTTACCCCTGTGGAAATAATAACTCATCCTTGCAGTTGATTTAGCACCTTATTACGTTGGAAGGACATCTCATGTCTCGAAGACGTGATAAGATGTAATATCAAATGCAAGGATTATTATTACCTCAAAGTGCTTCACAAATTTACTGTGAAATTATTGCCTGTGTATTTGTAGGCAAACATGGTGACCAGTTGCGCACAGCAATGTCCCACCAATTTTATCTGAGGAATTGTTGGCCAGGCACTGGGAGGAACTCCATTCACTTTTTGAATAGTGCCATGGCTCTTTAGCGACAACCTGAACAGGCAGATGGGACCTCGGTTTAACATCTCATTCAAAGGATGACCCCGACAGCGTCAGTTTAGATTGTGCGAGTTGAAGTCCCGACACGGGATTTGAACCTGCAACCTTCTGACTCAGAGGCAAGAGTGTAAACTGTGGAAATAGAGGTTTCCAGAGGGAGGGGCAGGGGGAATTATTAGCCCATCAAGCTTGGAAAAAGAATCATTAGCTCCAGAGGCTGCAGAAAGAATGAGAGACAGAATTATTAGAGAGAGTGAGTACTGTGCTGTTGTGTTTTTTATATGAACAACAACAACAAAATTACATTTATAGAGCGCCTTTCACATTAGGAGGACATCCCAAGGCGCTGGACAGTCAGGGGTGAGGACACGAGCATGGGGGAGGGGTGGGGTAGGGGTGAGGGAAGGCAGAGAGGTGGAAGGGTGACTGAAGTCATGATCGAAGAGGAGGATCTTAAGACCGGCCTATCTCCCAACTGCACAGTATGGTGTTGATTTGAGAAAAGCTGACCCTCAGGACAGTGGGTACAGACCGGTTACACAAGACACAGCATGACTGACTGTTGTGAGAGCATGGGCTGACTGGCACAGACACCAGGCAGTCAGCAAACCGTCACTGGTCAGTGGGTGCCAGTCAGTCAATGGTTAGTTGTGCTAGTTTGTGGTCATCAGCTAGTGGGTGCCCTGGTCAGTGGTCACAAGTTATTGGGCACTGGTCAGTGGGTGCTGGTTAGTGGGCGCTGGTTAGAGAGCATTAGTTAGAGAGCTCCAGTTAATGGGAATGATTAGAAGGCATGAGTTATTGGATGCTGGATAGCGGTTACTGGTTAGCAGGCTTTTTTCACTCTAATGAACACGTGAAGTCTACTCACAGGATATAAGATATAACTCCGATGGACCAACAATCCACAGCCTTGCCATACGGTTTCTGGGCCAGAACTTCAGGAGCTACGAGAGGAGCAGAGGGTGTAGGTGGGCTTGGGGGTGAGGGTGAGGGTGGCGATGAGGATGGGGATGAGGGTAAAGGTGGGGGTGAGCGTGGGAGCACTCACTCTGCACATTCCAGGATCATGTCATTGGCATGTCAGTACTCCCAGCACCTCACACGGCACACACACACACAGCCCACACACGAAACACACAGCCCCACACGGGTCGGACATACAGCCCCACACACTACACACACAACCCTAGACACTAAACACACATTCCTATACCCTACACACACAGCCCCATGCTCTACACACAACCCCACACACTACACACAACTCCACACGCTACACACACAGCCTCACACACTTCAGACACAACCCCATACACTACACGCACAACCCCATACACTAGACACACAGTTCCACACACACAGCCCCACACACTACACACAGAGCCTCACACGCTACACACACAGCCCCACACGGCAGACACATACACAGTCCAACACACACACTTAACCCCACACCTTACATGCACAGCCCCACACGGGTCAGTGCGTGTGCTCGTTCTGTGCACGTCCTGCACCATGTACTTTTCATTGCCCCCTCACACATACCCACGTAGCCAGGTGTTCCGCACGCGGTGGACATCACGCTGCCCTTGTCCTCCAACTTGGAGAGTCCAAAATCGCTGATCATTATGGGTGAATCTTCCTCCTGACCACAGTACAGCAGGTTCTCAGGCTGCACACAGAGCATCAGTCACTGCACCTCACACACATAGCATCTGTCACTGAACCTCACTGCACCGCAAACACAGTGTCAGTCACTGAACCTCACTCACACACAGTGTCAGCCACTGAACCTCACTCACACAGTGTCAGCCACTGAACCTCACTCAAGCACACACACACACTCACACACACAGTGTCAGCCACTGAACCTCACTCACACACACACACACAGTGTCGATCACTGATCCACACACATACACAATATCAGCCACTGAACCTCACTCACGCACACACACAGACTCACGCACACACACACAGTGTCAGTCACTGAACCGCACACACATACACACAGCATCAGTCACGGTACTGCACACAAAGTGAGTTTCATTGACTGCATAAACTCTGTGTAAACGTTGTGTAAACTCTGTGTACATACAGTGTAAGGCTGTGTAAATGCTGTGTAAGGCTGTGTACGCACTGTTTAAGATTGTGTAAGTGCTGTGTAGGCTGTACCTTCAGGTCTCTGTGGACGATGCCCAGCTGGTGTAGGTAGTGCACAGCGTGCAGGATCTGAGAGATGAGCTGGCTGGCATCTCTCTCTGTGTAACAACCTCGCTCAACAATCCTGTCAAACAGCTCCCCGCCAGCTACCCTGTCACACGTACACACAGACACAGGCACACACACACATACACACATATACACACATACGCATATAAATATATATAGAAACACACATAGACACACATATACATACACATACACACACATACACACACAATTAAACATACACACATATAGGCATATAAACACATAACAAACACATACAGACACACACATATACACACAGACACAGGCAGACACATATATGTATACATATATACAAACACATATGCACACACATATGCACAGACACACACATGCACACACATTCACATACACATGCAGAGTAAACATACGTACACAAAAAGAGAGACACACACGCAGAGACACAAACACGCAGACAGAGAAGAAAGACAAATGCACAGTGTCGGTACTGTGAGAGTGATGGGGAGAGAGAAGGAATGGAGACAGAGAAGGGGGGAAAGAGAGACAGAGATGGGGAGAGAGCGGAAGGAGAGAGAGTGGTGGGGGGAAGCGAGAGGAGGTAAGGAGAGGGGATGGAAGAGAGAGGTAGGATAAGAGAAGGGAGGGGGAAAGAGAGGGGAGGGAAGGATGATACGGGGAAGAGTGGATATTATGTTAGGTGAGCGGTTGTTACGGGGGGGGAAATGAATGTTACAACAAATAGCATTTATTTAGCATCTTTCATGTCAGAAGGACATCTCAAGCGCTGGACAGTGAAGGGTTTGCACCTGAGCTGGGGCCTGGAATCAGGAGGGATGGAGGGCTAAGGGGATGGAGGTGAGAGTATGACCGTCGAATAGGAAGGTCTTGAGATGTGTCTTTAAGTAGGCAAAGGAGGAGGCGAAGAGGGGGGCCTGGCGGAGCGCCTTCGGGATGGAGTTCCAGAGGGTGGGGGCAGAAAGGCTGAAGGCCCGACTACCAATGTTGGGGCAGCCAGATTGGGAGATGTGGAGCAGGCCAGAACCCAGTGAATGGAGGGAGCTGATAGGCTGGTATGGAGTTAGCAGGCTGTAGAGGTAGGGAGCCGTAAGACTGTGGAGAGCTTTGAAGGTGAGGACAAAGATCTTAAACTTGATTTTCTGGGGGATGGGGAGCCAGTGGAACCGGGCTAGGGTCGGGGTGATATGTACACAATGCTTGGTGTGGGAGATGACATGAGCTTCAGAGTTCTGAATAATCTGCAGCTTGTGGAGGGAAGAGTTGAGAAGACCGACAAGCAGGGAGTTGGCTTAGTCAAGCCTGGATGTTACGAAAGCTTGGATGAGGATCTCAGTGCCCTGAGAGGAGAGATATTGGCAAAGGTGGGCAAATTGCAGAGATGGGGGAAGGCAGAACGGGTCATGGCATGGGTCTGGGTTTGAAAGATAGTTGAGTGTCAAATAAGATTCCAACGTTCCGGACTGGCTCAGTGAGATGGAGTGAGCATCCATGAATAGTGATGCTGTAAGTGCCTGAGATGTGGAGGTGCTGACGGGAGCCAATCAGGAGGGCCTCAGGCTTGTTGACATTCAGCTGGAGAAAGTTGGTTCTCATCCAGTGCTTGATGACTGACAGGCAAAATGTCAGGACAGTAGCGGTCCCGGAGATGAGGGTGGAGGCAGAGAGATAGACTTATAATAATACTAACCCTTGCATTTGATATAGCGCCTTATCAATTTTTCAAGACGTCTCAAAACGCTTCGTAGAATATACTGTAATGTGAATTGATTGTATATTTTGTGGGCAAAATGCAGCAGCCAATTGTGACAGCAGTGTCCCACAAGCAGTCGTGGATTGAGTGACCAAATTATTATTTTTTAAAATTATTTTTGAAGGATTATTACCCCCAGAAAAGCAGCGGAGAAGAATACAGCATAGAATGCAGCAGAGAGATCAAGAAGGATGAGGAGATAGTGAGAGCCCTGGTCACAAATGGACAGGCTGTCATTTGAACTTTTAGTAAGGCTGTCTCTGTACTATGGGTAGCACAGAAACCAGATTGGAGGGGTTAATACAGGGAATGGCGGAAAAGGAAGGAGCAAAGCTGGGAAACAACCTTGGGAGGTTACAGGGGATGTCTCCTTAAGCAGGTTCTCCTTGGAGCTAAACTGGCTCCAAGTTGATAAGCTTGGCAATGGAATATCGGAATATCGGTCTCGGTAATCCAGTTTCCAGGTCCGCAGTATTCTAGGGCGCTGCTGACAGCACATGCTCATCAGCAGGACTTGGGAGGGCAGACAAGTCGCTGGGGAGTCATCCCACTCAGTTCGTGTTAACCCTGCAAGCCAAAGCCCTAACGGGTAGCGTGGTCCTAGCTGGACAAGCAATGGGAAACCTTGCATGTTACTGGTGGGGGGGGTGGGGGGGGGGTTGGGGGGAGAGTGGATATTACTGGTGGAGGGGGAGTGAATGTTATAGGGTGGGGGGATGTTACAGGTGGGGGGGTACTCACAGCTGCATCACCAGGTACAGGTGCGTGGGGCTATCATAAATCTCCTCCAGGGAGACAATGTTCGGATGTTTGATTCTGTGTAAAAAAACATATTACAAACATCAGTCTCTCTGAGCTTCTGGTACAGTTTCGCTCCTGCCTGTGAGTGGGCTGACAGTGTGACAGGTCTACAGTGTGACACGCTGACAGTGTAACGGGCTGACAGTGTGACACGTGTCACTGGGTCGGTGAATGATAGACCTTTATTAGGAATTACATCATTAATTATAGGCATACACTGTGTGTGTGCAACTGTCTGTGTATAACTTTCTGTATGTGTGACCGTCGCTCTGTGTGTGTGTGACAGTGCGTGACTATCTATGTGTGTTTCGTTGACTGTCTGTGTGACTGTCTCTATGTGGGATCATCTGTGTCAGGGATTGTGTGTGTGAGACTGTCTGTCTGCGTCTCTCCATTCGTGGATGCGTCTGTCTGTTTGTATATGTGTGGGGTATCTCTCTCTCTCTCACTGTGTCTCTCCTTCCTCAACATCCTGGTGATCTTTCGTGTGCATGTGTGTGTATGTGAAACTGTCTATGTTTGCGTGATTGTCTATGTGTGTGATTATCTGTGTGTGTGTGTGAATGAGACTGTGTGTGATTATGCATGTGTGTATGTGAGAGACTGTCTGTGTCTGTGTGATTATATGTGTGTGTGTGTGAAAGAGACTGTCTGTGTGTGTGAGTGTGTGTGTCAGACTGCCATTGTCACTCCGTCCGTCTGTCTGTTTGTCTGTTTTCAAAGCCCTCCATGGCATTGCTCTTTCCTACCTCTGTGACTTACTAAGGCAATATCAACCTGTCTGCTACCTCTGCTCAGCAGGCTCTGGCCTGCTCCACGTCCCATGCCTGACCTGCTCCATCATCGGCAGTCGGGCCTTCAGCCTCTCTGCCCACACCCTTTGAAACTCCATCCCACAGTACCTTCACCTTGCTGCCTCCCTTGCTTTCTTCAAGTGAAATCTCAAGATTTTCCTCTTCGACTGTGTCTTCAGCCACCTTCCTACACTTACCCACCCTGTCCTCCACCCCTCCTTATCCCAACCCCCTCCTTGGGTCCAAATCTCTTAATGTCCTGCATTTTGGGACGTTCTCCTGACATGAAGGGCGCTATGCAAATGTAATTTGTTGTTCTTGTTTGTTTGTATGTGTGTATGTTGTGGGGAGGGAGGCGGCGTCTCTCTCTCTTACTGTGTCTCTCCCTCCTCCCCATCCTGGTGACCTCTCTCTGACTGTGTGTGTTTGACTGCTTGTGTATTGACAATCGGTCAGTCGGTTGGTGGGTCTGTCTGTCAGTGCATCTGTCTGTCTGTGCGTCCGTTTGTCTGACTGTGTCGGTCGCACATACACTTACTTTTGCAGGACCGTAATTTCATTCTCAATGCTTGTTTCTTTTCCCTGCAGAGCTTTCTTGGGGATACATTTAATTGCGACCAGTCTGTGAGTTTGTTTCTCCTCAGCCAGGACCACTTCTGAAAAAGCACCCCTGAAACATGTCACAAATTATCACTACAGTGTTTGTCATTGCTCGGCTCCACCACTGTCTCATACCGCAGGCCGCCAAGACCCTCATACGCGCATTCATAACATCCAGGCTCGACTACGCAAACTCCCTCCTTGTCGGTCTCCCCAATTCCTCCCTCCACAGGCTGCAGATCATTCAGAACTCTGCAGTCCGTGCCCTCTCCTGCACCAGGCTCCGCAACCCTATCACCCTTACCCTCGCCCGACTCCATTGGCTTCCCATCACCCAGAGGATACAGTTCAAGATCATGGTCCTCACTTTCAAAGCCCTCCATAAGCCTTGCTCTCCCCCTACCTCTGTGACCTCTTAACCCCCACCAACCTGTCTGCTCCCTCCACTCAGCGTTTATACAGAGCTGACAGTGCATTGCGTCCAGGCCCCACATCTTCATAGAATCATAGAATTTTGCAGCACAGATGAATCTGCAAATTTGTCCTCTCTAAGTACCTATGTAATTTCCTTTTGAAAGCTATTATCAAATCTATTTCCACCACCCTTGCAGGTAGTTAATTACAGACAGTAACAACTCTTGGTAAAAAAAAGTCTCCTTGTCTCCCCTCTGGTTATTTTGATAATTATCTTGAATCTATGTTCTTTGGTTCCTGACTCACCTGCCAGAGGAAACAGTTTACGGAAATCTATCAAAAATTCTCATCATTTTGAACACCTCTATTAAATCTCCACTCAAACTTCTCTGCTCTAAGGAAAAAAATCCCAGCTTCTCTAGTTTCTCCACATAATCGTAGTCCTTCATCCCTAGTATCATTCTTATAAATCTTTCCTGCACCCTCTCCAAGGTACTGACATCCTTCCTAAAGTGTGGTGCCCAATGCTGGACACAATACTCCAGCTGAGGCCTAACCAGCGATTTGTAAAGGTTCATCATAATTTCCTTGCTCTTATACTTTATGCCTCCATTTATAAAGCCAAGAATTCCATATGATTTTTTAACAGCTTTGTCGACTTGTCCTGCCACCTTCAAAGATTTGTGTATGTGAACCCCCAAGTTTCTCTGTTCCTGCACCCACTTTAAAATTGTGCCATTTATCTTCTATTGCCTCTCCTCATTCCTTCTCCCAAAATGTATCACTTCACACTTCTCTGCATTAAATTCCATCTGCCATGTATCTGTTCATTTCATCAGCCTGTCTATGTCCTCCTGCAGTCCTCCTCACTGTTTACTATGCTTCCAAGTTTTGTGTCATCTGCAAACTTTAAAATGTTGCTCTCTATAACCCAAGTCCAGGTCATTAATATATATTAAAAAGAGCAATGGTCCTAATACCGACCCCTGGGTGTCACCACTGTATATTTCCCTCCAGTCTGAAAAACAACTGTTCACAATTACCCTCTGCTTCCTGTCTCCCAGACAATTTTGGATCCATGCTACTACTGTTCTCTTAATCCCATGAGCTTCAATTTTGCTAACAAGTCTATTATGTGACACTTTATCAAACACCTTATGAAACTCCATATACATCAAATGCACTTCCTTTATCAACTCTCTGTGTTACTTCATCTGGAGTAATACAGAGGGTTGGAGCAGAGAGCCCAGCAGTGTGAGGAAGGAACAGAGTGAGAATTCTATTAAGGAATTTGGTGAGAGTGGGAATTCAGTGCAGAGGGGGAAAGAGCTGCATGATTATAAAATGTATAAATGTTATATTAAAATAATATAAATAATATATACCATGTCTGGAAACATGGCAGCTGAGACCGGTTGCATGCACAATGTGTGTCATGTGGAAACTCCAGGATGGTTTGTGTACCCTGGACAGACATGTATGTAGGAAGTGCCTCTGGCTCGTTGAGCTTGAGCTCAGGATTTCTGAGCTTGAGGAGAGAGGCTGGTGTCACTACGTACCATAGGGAGGCTGAAGAGTTCATAGATCGAATGTTTCAGGAGGTAGTGACCCCACAGCCACAGAGGGTTCAGAAGCAGAGTGAATGGGTGGCCACCTGGCATGGTAGGAAGAAATCGGGTAGTGGTACTCATAAACTGGTTCTCTGTACTGAATAACAATGAGGGTGATGACACCTCTGGGGAGGGGAGTCAAAAGCAAATGGATGCACAGGGGGACACAGGGAAGAGTGTCAATGTAATTGTCATTGGGGACACAATGGTGAAATAGAAAGGCGATTCTGCAACCAAAGACGTGACTCTCACATGGTATGTTGCCTCCCTGGTGCCAGGGTTGAAGACATCACGGAACGGGTGCAAAACATTCTACAGGGGGAAGGGGAACATCCAGAAGTCGTGGTCCATGTTGGGATCCATGACGTAGGGGAAAAAAAGGGCTGTGATCCAAAGGGAGAGTATCAGAAGCGAGGGAAAAAGCTAAAGAATAGGACCTCAACGGTGGTGATCTCTGGATTATTCCCAGCGCCTCGTGCAAGTGAGTATCAAAACGGCTGGATCAAACACATGAATGCATGGCTGGAGAAATGGTGCAGAAAGGAGAGTTCCTGGATCATTGGGACCAGTTCTGCGGCAGGTGGGACCTGTACAAGGTGGATAGGTTACATATCAACAGACCAATGTCCTCGCAGGGAGGTTAACTAGTTTTGTGCAGAAACTAATTTTGAGGGGGAAGGGAATCACGATGTAGCATTAGAGAGGACAAACACGTTACATAGAGGGCTGGGAGGGTTAATAGTAATGTATTCTGGAGTAATCCAGAAAAAGGAGAGATTAGATGGGAGAGAAATGCAGAACAGGTCAGTCAGTCTTGGAGTGGGACAAATAAGCTTGGTGAGCTGTAGACTCAAGTTGCAACATGGGGTTGTGATATAGTGGCAACAGCAGAAACTTGGCTCAAACAAGGGCAGGAATGGGAGCTTCCTGGTTACAATGTATTCAGGAGGGATAGGGGAGGAAAAAAAGGAGATGGGGTGGCAATATTGATTAAAGATATGGTTACGGCCCTGGAAAGGGACGATGTGCTAGCGGTCCAAAAACTTTTTACTCTTTTAGGTGTATATTATAGATCACCAAAAAGCAGAAAGGAGACAGACGAGCAAATCTACAAGCAGACTTCAGAAAGATGCAAAACCAACAGAATAGTGATAATAGGGAACTTCAATTATCCTAACATACCCTGGCAAAATAACAGTGTAAAGAGCACGGAGGGGAAAGGATTCCTGAAATGTGTGCAGGATAGCTTTCTGGATCAGTATGTTTCCAGTTCAACGAGAAAGGAAGCAGTGTTGGATCTAGTTCTGGACTAATGAACTGGGGCAAGTGGAGCAGGTTTCAGTAGGAGAGCATCTGGACAACAGTGGTCACAACATCATTAGGCTTCGAGTACTTATGTACAGGGAGAAGGAACAATCAAAGGTTTAGATATACAACTGGAAGAGGGCTAATTTCAATGAGTTAAAAAGGGACCAGCCAAGGTGGACTGGAAAGAAAGATTGGCAGGTAAACAGCTAACGAACAATGGGAAGTCTTCAAGGAGGAGATAGTTTGGGAACAGAACAAATGCATTCCGAAAAATCGGAAACGTAGGGCATCCAAACCTCCCTGGATGAATAAGGAAATTGGGATAAAAATAAAACAGAAAAAGGAGGCTTATGATAAATATCAGGCCCAAAATACAAAAGATAATCAAATAAAATATAGAAAGTGCAGAGAAGAACTATAAAATGAAATAAGAGGGGCAAAGAGATTGTATCAGAAAAGATTAGTGGGTAACATAAAAGGGAACCCTAATGTATTTTACAAACATATATAAAAAAAATTGTCAAAGGTAGGGTGGGTCCAATTAAGGACCAAAGAGGACATCTTCTGGAGGCAGAGGGCATGGCTGATGTACTGAATGAGTATTTTGCATCTGTTTTCACAAAAGAAGAGGATGCAGCCAATGCCACAGTATCGGAGCGAGGGTAGAGAAATTGGATTAGATAAGAATAAACCAAAGGAGGTACTAAAAAGGTTGTCGGTGCTCAACAACAACAACAACAAGATTACATTTGTATAGTGCCTTTCACGTTGGGAGGACGTCTCAAGATGGATAAGTTACCCGGTCCGGACGGGATGCATCCTAGGTTACCGAGGGAAGTAAGGGTGTAATTAACAGAATCACAATCTTTCAATCCTCCTTGGACACTGGGTGGTGCCAGATGACTGGAGGGTTGCAAATGTTACTCCCCTGTACAAAAAGGGGCAGAAAGATAAACCCAGGAACTAAAACCCAGTCAGTATAAGATCAGCAGTCAGGAAACTTCTAGAGACTATAATCCGAAACAAAATTAATTTTCACTTGGAAAAATATGGGTAAATGAAGGACAGCCAACACAGATTTGTTAAAGGCAAATTATATCTACAACAACAACAACAAGATTCCATTTATAGATTCCATTTATAGCCTTTCACGTCGGGAGGATGTCCCAAGGCCCTGGACAGTTGGGTCAGGACCCGAGCCTTGGGGGGAAAATGGTCAGAGTGAGGGAAGGGAGGGAGCGAGGAGGAGGGAAATGGTCAGGGGGAGGGAAGGGAGGGAGTGAGGAGGGGGTAGAGAGTCGAGAGGGGAGCTGAAGGCACCGTCAAAAAGAAAGGTCTTGAGACCGGCCTTGAAGGAGGAAAGGGAGAAAGCGGCGAAGGCACTGGGGGATGGAATTCCAGAGCCTCGGGGCTGAGAGGCTGAAGGTCCGGCCACAGATGGTAGGGCAGTAGGGGCGGGGGATGTGGAGCAGACCGGAGCCAGAGGAACGGAGGGTACGGGCAGGTAGGTAGGGGGATAGTAGGTCGGAGAGGTAGGAGGGTGCAAGGCCGTGAATGGCCGTGTAGGTGACGATGAGGATCTTGAATTCGATCCTCTGGGGGATGGGGAGCCAGTGGAGGTGAGCGAGGGTGGGAGTGATGTGGTCCCGAAGCCTGGTGCGGGACAGTACACGAGCTGCAGAGTTCTGAATGACCTGCAGTGTGGAGGAGGGCCGGGAAGGCCGGCGAGGAGAGAGTT